AAAAAATATCGCTTATATCGTTGTCACTACTGATATATTGAAGATTAATTTAAAAGTTATTTCATTTTCTTTTGCTTGGAAGCGGGTTGGATATTTAGGTAATCGATCCGATTGAAGTTTAATTATGTTAATTGGATCGAAGAAGCTTTATGAATTTGGGATTTATCGTGTCATACTTTTTTTTATCGCTTCATCCAGCATAGTTGAATAGCTTGTAACTTAATAAATGAACATGAATCGACATCTTTCTGACCCAATAATTATCACGTGTATTTATAATTTTTAACAGAATCACTGCTTGAATTTTTTACGTATTATTTAGTAGAAATATTCTGTACGTGTAAATGTATATATATATATTATTTTTTTTTCCATCTCAAACTCTTAATACTGATTTCCATTGAAAAAGCATATTCGCGTGAATTTTTAAAACTGCATCTCGTATTTCATCTCGTTAACACGGAACGAGAATATGTAAATCCAGGAACGAAGTTAATCAAAGAAAAGCATTCTTCAATGAAACGAATGAAACGAAAACAAAAAATCAACTAACCCCTCATCATATTCTATATATTTCACTTTCTTCCTCGAAATTGTTGACCCTATTTACGCTATTTCTTCGTTAATTAAAGTGGCTTGTTTGCGATAAATTTACGATGAAATCGATAACAGATGAGTCGTGTTACATCGTTGAAATATTTTCCAATTTTAATGAAACGTTTCGTGTCGTTCATCTTCACGGCCATCAAATTCAAAGCTCTTCATTAAACATCGCAAACTACTCTCTTCTCTGCATCGCTAAAGCATCCCGTGTTTCATCGTTGATTCGTTACTTAATATCATAATTAATAAACACCCAATTAAATTACACGATAAGAGAGGCACAACCTCGATTCTTTTCTACTCGAGTTATCCGATTCAATTATTAAATCGCATATACGACGCGAAATATGAAAGTGAATCATAAATATGTGGCCGCCTCAAAAATTAATTTCATTTCCACGTTGTTGTTCCACGTGAAAAATAAATCATAAATGTAATTTTATAACTTTTACGAATATTCCTTTTAATATTTCCAAGGTTAATCGTTTTACAATTTTCTCATTTCTTGACTTCTCAATTACGCCCCTCTCGAGATCTTGAACCGGGCCAACAGTTTTTCATTAATAATACTACGATCTATGTTTTCCCGCGTTAAGAGCGCGGCAGAGAGGAAAGTTTCCATCCCAAGATTTGATTAATACTCGAGAACACGAGATTCGTTTTATCGAGCATTTTTTATCATTCCAGCCAATTAATTCTTGTTCGGCCGGCGTGCGGCATCAATTGACAGAGCCAGCCGAGGAACTGTATCGTATTAAAGTTTCCACACGAAGTTAAAGTTTCCAGGAACAGAGGGGATTAATTATTATCAAGTCACATCTACGGCGGTAACGAGTCGCAGATCGATGGTGGTTGAAATTTCCCAAGTTAGGACCATTGAAACTGTGATATACTATTTCGACGGGCCTTTGGATCGACTTAAGCCACACCCTCTATCTCGAGCTTGTCTATAGAATTGAGAATCCATGAATATTTCTCTGTCTACGATAAGTTTGTTCTCCAAGTAATTTTCAAGTAGAATTAGTTTTTGTTTAAGACCGTCATATCCATTAAACAAGCAATTCAATGTACGTATAGATACGTGTATGACGGATGATGAATGGAAAAAAAAAATCACCATCACCAATTAATTTGATCGTTTTGCGGAAACTCTTTTGTGTTTCCCAACTCTATTTCCATTTATTTTACTTTTATTTTATCCCTCGGGGGATGCGAATATTTGCAACGATAGTCTCCATTATTTAAATTGAAAATCGATTCGTGCTTAACGATGGTGCGACAGAGAGAAATCTCGTTCTATTTCTTAACTCGTGTTCTCTTGCACGTTGATAAACAAGCATCGATCGACACATTTTTATATATCATTTATTTTCGTATTCGTTTTGAAATTCGTTCTTTCGCAATATTCGTTCACACGAAGCAACGTACATTAACACCATTTTGACATTTTGAATAAGCTGCATTTTTATAAAAAGGGAAAAGTATTAATTCAGAATTATTCGCACATTTGAATATTATTGCGGCCCGACATTGCAGCATTGGGATAATATTGGGTTAATAACCCAAAGGGTTGATTTATAGGTATTATACATATAATAATACAGCATCGACGTCCCGCGTTATCGATTATATTAAAACGCTAATATAAGTTACGTCTAGTGGTATATACGTGCACGCGTTATCCAATGCGTTTGAATTTACATTGTTTGGCGTAATTACGCAATTTTGGCCGAAATGTTTGCAGTTAGCGCGTTAATTAGTAAGTACGATTGGACAGTCACGATTCTGGCGTGATTTCATCCTCGAAATTCATATTTCTTCTTCGACTCCAATAAAGTTGATTCCACGTGTGAATTAACATTGGCACAATTAGGATATCCTTCGTTGTAAAACTGTTTTAATTCAATAATTTTCTTTTTTTTCTTAACGAAGAGAAGATTTTTGTAATTATTGACCAAAGACGTAGACTGCCGTTCTATTATTATTTCCCACTTATTTCGATCACGTTGTTTCACGTTGAAACGTCCAAATTCATTACGAATAGATATTAAATGCGGCAAATATTGGTTCATCCGTAGTTATACATTTTGGCCACCGTGACGTGTTTATATAAACAGATAGATGCTAGCTAGATGGGACACCGTATAGATATTGAAGCCGATATCGCTATTACGTCATCGGCTACTCGACAATTGACAGCATCCACTTACACACCGGCGACGTATGTATGATGTTGACATGTACAGTGAATGCGCTGTGTGTCAATATCGTTGAATATTCACTGATGACAAATACAGCGAAGACAATCGCATTGGTAATGCCCATACACGGAATTCAATGTATCGAAATTCTTTGATATATTTGATATCTTAGAAACCGAATTAAATTAGCTCGAAGCTAAAATCTTATATTTAGTTTCTCCTCGAACTTCTTAAAATTTCTTCTCAAAAGTTTTATCACGACGATTGTAATTATCGTATCTTTAATTTTATATCATAAATGGAAGAGAATATTTGAGCCGAATATTTGAACTCGATCCATCCATCTGTAATCTTTCTATTTTCCATTTATATAGAATAAAAAAAAAAAGAAAACGATTTTCTCGTTAATTGAATAGTATTCGTCGCAACACACAGAGAGAGAGAGAGAGTTTTTTCATCCAAGCGAGTGGAAAATGAATTGAAATCGAGCGATAGAAACGCACCAACATTTCTTGGTGAATAACTCGCAATAGCACTATAGCTGATATACCTAGGAATCGAGAAACACAACCGAAGCAGCAACCGACCATGACGTATTTGCCGCGGGCATCTAGTAACCAAATATGCCTCCTGAGATACGCCACACCGCAAACACGTATCCCGTGTTCCATTCTCTTCCGCCGCAAAAACCTGCTCACCGTGAATTCAGATTGCAAAAAGCATTGTGCAAAGAACGAAACGTTGTTTTTCTGACGACTCGACGTTGCGCTTTTATTTTCCACGTCTGACCACCACTTCGTGTACTCTCGATATTGATTCTAGGGGGTTTTTTTTTTTGGTCACCGATCTAGGGTATTTTCGGTTCGATTCGGGTCGTAGTCAGATGACGTTAATATTTCAGATGTTTGGTTTTATTCGAGGCAAGACGTACGTAATTTATGGAAGAAAAAAGAAACGTGTGTAATAAAAATATCAGAATCTGATTAAGATTCTCTCGAACGAATAGAAAAAAACTATTCTATGATACGTGTGATAATAAAAAGAAATTGTAGAGTACAATTTTATCGTCTAAATTTTTGAAAAAATTAATTTTCAGAAATTAATCCAACTGGGCAAGAAAATGAAATATTAATGAAATGTTATTCTATATTATATTGTTATATCGACGAACATATTCATCGAACCAAGTTTATAGATATTTTACAAATTTTCAAACACCGATTCTTTCTAGATAATCTTCCAATTATAATAAACGATCGCGTTGATAAAAATTAAACGAAATATACAGATTTTCTTTCTTCGACGATCCTCCTATTTACCGATCGCAACACGTACGACGATCAAATTTCAATTCCAGACTAATTTCGTTCATCATTTAATCCGTCATGAAGCAATTACGGGGTCTAAATTCCGCATCGTCGTATTCAAACGATAGCATCGCAATTGCAATCGAATCGAGAACCCCCCTCCCCCGATATTCCCTTAACCGGCCGACGGGCAAATAGTCGCTCGCAGCCTTTTAATCAATTCGTTTTTAATTCGACTACCACGCTATTTCGAACTACTACCGGTTGATTTCTGATAGGCGGCCGTCGAGAAATACAGGTGGCGTTGAATCCCCGGCCGACATGCTCCCCCAATCAGAGACGTTATCCGGGAAAAATAATAAATCAGGCGTCCAGAATGTCCGGTAATTTAATTTCTGGGGAACTTTTTTATTCCGTGGCAACTTTCCCCCGTTGGGGAATCGTTGTTCGGGTATATGAAATGGGGAGATGGAGGGAGGAGGGAGGAAAGAAGAAAGAAAAAGAAAGGAAAAAAAAAAGAGAAAAGTCCCTCTTCTCTTCGGATGGGATATTTTTTCGACGACATTCGGGAGAAGAGAAAAATGGAAGAAGGGATAGAGGGAGGAGGAGGGCAAGAATGGAGGGATAAAACGAGCAATGAATACTCTATGAACGTCATGCATGAATTTTAATGAATAGAGTTGTTTACGACCGCGTGTTCATCGCATGCTCCACGCGTTTTTTTCAAGGTCGACTGTGTCTGGCCACTTTGCGCGGGTGGAGATATATTTTATGCATAAAATACGATGGATTCTATCGATCCACGGTTATAATAAGGAAGATGTAAAGTGAAAAGCAATTATTAAATCGCAAGTAGCGAGTATTCTTACGAATAAGAACATCAACGAATTTTCATCAAATCTTTTTCCATTTACAGTTCATGCAAATTTTAGTTCATGAATTTTATCTAAATAATAATTATTTTACACGATCTTTGCCCCTTTATTCTACCTATTTTTCTTTTTTCTACGTTTAAATTTCTCACGAATGCAAGCAAACGTCCATAATCCAATGTCCATCCAGATCGAGTATCCCCGTAAATTCGTCGATCTGTCAAATCACACCGGAGAAATAGTAATGCATAAATTTTTTAAATCGAAATCGAAAACCTCCGTTAAAACTTGCTGAAACTGAAAACTTTTTTTCCAGAGGAGGACTACGACGCGTTTTGTTTGTCGTACATGTTCACGTATCGTGACTTCGAGAAGGGAACTTTGGGCCTGGCGTGGACCGGCGATCTGAAAAACGCGGGCGGAGTTTGCGAGAAAAACGGGGTAAGTTCTCTTCCCTCCGCCCGATCCGGTAACAAAACTAATTCGCCGCCGTCTGGAATATAACATGGTTTCGGGGTCCGCGTTTCACGATACCCAGACAATTACCCCGGGAACTAACGCTATTTCGTCTTGCAGCACTACAGAGGTAGCATGAAATCGCTGAACACAGGTATAATCACCCTCCTCAACTACGGCAAACACGTACCACCGACGGTTTCTCACGTCACCCTTGCTCACGAGATCGGTCACAACTTCGGATCCCCTGTAAGTTCAACGTGGGTTTGCATGTTGTCGGCGAGCAGTAGCACATTCGAAAAGTTTCGAGGGCTTGGTTTCAGCGAGCAAGCACCCCCCCGCGATCGAAGCAATTCGGGGAGGAATCATAACGTAAACGATCCTTGTCCAATCTCGATCCTGTGAAAATTCTTTGTTTCAACGAGTAATCGATAATGGATTATAAAGAATCTTTTTGAATTTAACAACTCGATTTTGATAAACAATTTTGATTATCAGGTTTCGTTGGATACACGAGTTCTTTCCGAATTTGATATTCGATGTCTGTGGATACTTTTGCGATGCGTCGAGTTAAATAATGTTCCTCCATTTTTTTTTAATATAATTTTTTTTTAGTAAATATCGACGTGAGTAGTACGGGAAATAACGCGTTCGATCGATTTTTAAAAAAATAAAATATTACGTTTCATTTTTCTCCACGAAGAAAAGCATACGATTTCATATGGAATGAAACGTGTTATCATTTTTTTTTTTTTTTTTTTGTCTGAAAATTAATACGTTGTACTCATTTTTAACGAAAAATTTCCAAGATTTATAAAAATCTGGAATTATCGTGAAAGATTAAATTCTTTCTTTCTTATACGAGTTAAACTATGTTACTTTTTATGATATATATCGATAATTGTAATGAAACTTCTAGAAAAGTTTCTTTCAATACGAAATAATTACAAATAATAACAATTTGTTATTATTCAAACTTTTAAAAAAAAAAGAGAGAAACGAAAATTGACAAGGATCGTTTATATTTGTTAAATTGTTCCAATTGTACTCTACGGTTGAATTTATTCTAATTTCAACACTTGCTGCATATATTTGTGTGAAAAATAGAAAATTGCATTTCTTTCTTGGAAAAATCAACGAGTCAGCAAGAAAGGTGTTCAAGGAAGGAATGCGAATAATGTCCTAGGCAATTAAGCGCTGGATTGTTCGAAAAGTTGGTGCTGCAATGTTACGAGAGAAGAAGTTTCACGTTCCAACTATTTCCAAGAATGTTTGAGATCATCTTTGTCTATACTTCTCTCTGCTTAAATAATTTCTGTGCAGAGCGGATCTTTAATTTTTTTGAAAAAATTAAGAAAGCGATGATAATTTGAAAATTTATAGAGAAATAAAAACAAAATATCGCGATGAATAAATTCGTACCAAAAATCTACCATCATCGTCATTTTACATTTTAAGAATTAATAAATTTTTAAAATCGTTATTATTTTATCACGATCATTTCTCTAATTATTTTCCCCCTTTCTCTTTCGTTGCACAGCACGATCCGGACGAGTGTTCACCAGGCGGGGAGGACGGAAATTTTATAATGTTCGCAAGAGCCACTAGCGGGGATAAACGAAACAACAATCGGTTCAGCCCTTGCAGCCTGGTCTCCATAAATCCAGTTCTAAATGCCAAAGCCCGCTCCTCTAAAGGGTGCTTTGCCGGTAAATAAAGAAGAAGCTTTTGGAATTTTAATTAGTTGTTCGAACACGATTCTCGGTCATTCAAACTTTTCCTGAACCGAGCTTTTCGAGTCATTCACCTGAATCGTATTTATACATACGATTATTACGATACGATGCATGCAAAATATTTCCTCTAGCAACCTCCTCATCGATGGTAGGTATTGAGAAATGTTTATTATCTCGAGTAAATTTCGAAGAGGAAACGACGTGACAATTGTATTTTCGACATTAATGTTAAGATAAATTAAATAAATTTTCATAAGGTTTTCCATTACGTGGAAGATCTATCTTTCGTTACTTTTCTGTTGGATATAATAGTCGAACACTCGAGGAAGAATGTTTGTCGTCTTTTGAAACGAATTATTATTAAGGGCATCTCGTTAATGATGTCTAAAATTTTTTAAAGTTGAATTTTAATTAGGAGAATTATACAAAGTGAAAAGTTTTGGAAAATAAATGATCGCCGATAGGGAAACTGTTGAAAAAAGTTTACCATTTTATAACAATGTCTAATTATACAGCAAAGACAATGTGAACAAAAAGAATATGAACAATTTAATTGGTAGCGGTATATGAAATTTATTACTATATTTCTCTGACTGTTATTATTACGAAACTTTTCAAACAGCAACTTTTAAAAAAAAAAAAAAAAAAAAATAGAAAACCGTATTAATTAACATTTGAGAGCAATATTTTAATTAAAGTGAGACAAGATATTTTCATTTTAAACGAGATTAAAAATTTGCTCGTGAAAGTCGGAGAGAAGGAATATGTTTCGGATTAAAAGTAACCGCAGATGTTATTAAATTCTTATTAAAATTAGACATTTCAAATGTTAAAACTTAATACACGAACCAAAAAAAAAAAGAATACGAAAATCCAAAAAGTAGAATGATTTACAATATATATATATGATTTTGAACCGATCGGCAGAGAAATGTCAAAAAGTTTCCAAAGAAAATTATTATAAAAATGGATTCCAGAAAGAAAGAAAGAAAGAAAGAAAGAAAAAATTTGAGTACATGTTCCTATTAATAAGTATATATCTTCAAAAGGGAGTGCAAGAATACTATCCCGTGGAAGAGCGGGGAAAATGGGGGACAAAAGAAAGATAGAACGTGGCTCGATATATCGAGCGAGGCAGAGTCTAATTGCAACTCAATTGCAATTTTAATAGCGGACTCTCTACACGATCCGTAGAAAACTCGTTTCTGGAAACGAACATTGAACGCAGTAGGAAACGAGCGACAACTCGAGCAAACAAGAAAGCAGACACGACTCGTTAATTGTTAATAACAAAAAGATATCTGTGACCGTTGGCAAGCTAGCTGGAAAAAGTTTGTACGAATATCGAACATGGATACGATGCGCGTTGTAGTTGAAAACGAAGTAGAGAGATAAAAAGAGAATGAAATGAAATGTTGCCACGACGAACGGAAGTAATAACGGAAGTTGCCGCATTTCAGAGAAATTATTAGCAGAAATTATTCCCGTTTGAATCGGGTGGAAATTGATAAATTTTTTAGATTGAAAAATAATACAAGGACACATAAGTTATATCTTGAAATCTGTTTCCATTAACTTTTCCACTTTTATCGATCTAGTTAGATATTCTCGTCGAAAAGCACACTTTTCTGCGAAACGCGACAAATCATTCGAATTGTACTGTTACAAAATAAACTGATTGAGATCGTAATAAATTGAACATTCGAATTGTTGATTAAAATCACGCTTCATAATCGAATTATGAACTCGTTAATACGAAGCTATAAATGGAAATCAAAGTTTCACGAAGAGTTTAAAAGTTTCGATCAACCCGTTTCCACATCGATTGTAATTTCCTTACAGCGAAAAATTTGAGCAACTCGACACACCGATCGGTGTAAGAACACAGAGCTGTTCGAGAACCACTTGACGCGGATTGATTCGCAATTGATTCCATTACACGTAGCCACAGTCGACTTGTTGAGCTTCATTTAAATCTAGGTTTTCATTAAGCTCGCTCTGCAAATCAAGCCAACATTTATTCCATCCACTTTGCCTCCGCTTGCGGCTCGTTTCAACCTCGAACCGATCAAAGTAACGGATGGAGTATCGAGGCGAGAGAAACTTGGGATGCTTTATTTACCGCCGTTAAAAAAATAAAAACGAGGAAGAAGAGGGGGATTTATGGAATTTTGGTGGAAATGGCGAGTCGAGTTAATGGAGAATCGATGATTTTTCAGAGCCTCAAAACGCCATCTGCGGGAACGGCGTGGTTGAAGATGGCGAGGAATGCGATTGCGGATGGGAGGAGGACTGCAACGACCCTTGTTGCCATCCCCAACGGCTCCATCACGCTCTTCACGAGCTACCTTGTCGTCTTGCCGATGGTGCAGTGTGCAGCCCCAGTCAAGTAAGTGCCACTTTTCCTTCGTTTTCTACGTGTCCAGATAGCGTAGCCTCCCTCGTGAACCGTGATTAAGTCTAATGTCCCCTCATTTGCTACCCTCCAGTTCTTCTTCTTTTTTTTTTTTTTTTTGTTCTTCACCATTCAATCGTTCTACAAGGATAAAAGAGAGACAAACGGTGTCGATTCACCGATCGAAAGATCTCGAGAAAATTGGAACGATTGTTTTTTTTTTCTCTCTCTCTTTCTTTGTAGATAGAATTTTTGATTTTTCGAAAAAATTTCTTCAAACTCGTGGTCGATAGTGGAAATTTTATAGCAAAAAGTAGGCTGTTGCTCGATCCTTATCACGTTTATTTAATAACTTGATGTAAAAAAAAATTAATTTTGGAGTAACATTAGCGAGAAAGTTGTAGATGCGAATCGTTTCTACGATTGAAGAGAGAAAAATTGATGTTGGAAAGTGTGGAATGAGTAAAGTTGTTCGTGGGATAAAGTTTTGTTTAAAAATTGATGGGATTGATTCGTGGGGATGGCGCGGGGATGAAATTGAAGGAATATGTGCGAAGATATGTAGCAAACTGAAAGTTAAAATTGCATTTTTCAGTGAAAGGATGTCAAATTCTTGGTTATATTTACGTTGAAATATTAAAGGAACGGTAACGTCGGATGCTCCAAGTTTTCAAGATCTCCGTGGAGAGAGATATTTTTACAGTCGTTGCAAATACACCCCTTTAGCAGTGAGCTCCTTTGAAATTTCGACAGAGACTCATTTTCATTTTCTACGAAAGCTACACGTTGAATATGTTATGAATTCCTATTGAATATCTTGAAAGCGTAATGTAGGAAACGGAATGCGAGCGTGCAATGCCAACTTTTCTGTCAGACGCGAGCCCACCTCCTCCTCGAAACGTCGCATTTCCTCATTGATTCGTTTTCGTTTACGTTACATTTATCGAAAAATTTCACTTCAACGTTTTTATGATAAAGAGAAAAAAAAAAGAAACACTTTCGAAATTTAATAACTGCTTTAGTAATTCCCAAAATTGACGTTAACTCGCTAATTGGACGAATCGTTAATTGGATTAATTCCAATTATTGATACTTTACGGATTAATATTATTAATTGTTTTATCGAACTAAATTTTTCATTATTTATCATTACTCGATATATTTGTTAGAAGAGTAAAACTGGCATTTCCAAAATTTTCTAGGATTATTAATTGATCCAATCACTATATCCAATACTCTGTGTTTATCTCAATCTACTTGTCCACATAACTATTTATTCCACTTATATTTAAAAAAAGACACAAATGTAACATAAATTATACATAATCGGAATACACAATTGAATATAATAATTATAACAAACAGATTATAACGACGTGAAAGATTTCATCGTTGCACGAGATCCCTCTATTCACAACCTATCGATAATTTTAGGAATATTATTCCCTCATTTTTCTTAATTATCCAGCCGGCCAACATCATTATTCTCCAAGTATATATCATTTCGTTACCGACACGCAACCAAAAACCAATCGTCTCGTAACAAAATCCGGAACGAACACATCCCCCTACTTACAACAGCATTGGTAATTGATAACAAGGCATGGTTGCGCGACATCCATGTGCAGTTTCCATGTTTATTAACGGTAAAGCCGTAATTAAACGCGGAACGTGTCGTTACACGTGGCTCGCATGAATCTCCACAACTCGGCGTTAATCCAACCGGAGCGCGTCGTTTGTTCCATCGAGCCTTGGACTCTATATAATACACGCGATGATTAAACGGCGGATAACGAGTGCACGAAATCGAGACGTTGGTAATTTATGCGAACTTGGGTGCTCCTTCGAATACATCGAAATCGAAACTGCGGGCGTAACTCGAGGGAGGAGGATACGGTTCCATCGATTTCGCGAGGAGGAGGAGGATCCGTGTAGGAAGTTCGAGACACGGGCAATTACCGTGATTAAATTTAAACGAGCGATCGACTGTTGCGGGGGAATTGTTGCCAAATGATCGAGGAAAATATATATTTTCGAAAAATCGTGGAATTTGATGCTTCCATTCTCTGAGAAATCAAGTAGTTTTTTAATATAAATAAATAAAGAGAAAGAGTAGAAAGTAGAGTGTAAATAAGTAATCTATTTTTTGAATGATCCAAAGAAAAGGAACAAAAAGAGAGGGAAAAAGGAAGAGAAGAGAGAAAGAAAGAAAATGAAACTACAAAGAAAAATATATACATTTCACAAGATTCCAACGATTCAACGAGGGATGAAATAACAACAACAACAACAGCAGCACGGGAAATGGAAAGAAAAAGAAAAACAGGAAGGAGAAAGCATTAGTTAAATATTGAGCTTACACCCACCGGCTGAAAACACAACACAATAATGGCTCTCTGAATACAAGGCCATTCACCAAAGCACTTTTCTCGATGACGGCGCGCTTCGTGTTGGAAACTGCAATCTCGATTCTACGATTCTTCGCGCTCCAACAAATTTACTCGATCACGGACGGCCACGAGTGAACTTGAGGGTTGGGAATTAGTTTCCAGCCTCTTCCAGCTCTTCCGGATATATTCCGTTATGTTGTTATATATCGACAACGTGCAAACACAACATCGATTTAATTTTCGACCGCATCTATATCGTTGACACCGCTTGGAGCGCCACCTATTTTCTTCTACTGCTGTTATTTCAAGAAATGCGCCCGATCGATCGAACTGAAATCAACACCGTCCGTTATTAGTTTCGTTCCTGGATGAAACTTCAGTGAGACACGGTTAACTCTTGCGATTTAATCGAGGAAAGTTGCATTGGGAATTATTGAATTTAATTTCAAGAGGAAATTATAAGAGGAGATAATTAGAATTATTTACGAATAGGTTTCAAACAAGTCTATGATATCTTGGATCTAATCTTGTTATCGATTTTACATTTATTCATCCGTGTCTCGAACTTTGGAAATTCTTATTGCTGTAACGAGGTTTCCAATCGTGGAAAAGAATTACACGGGTATTGTGTCAACCGACGTGGTAATTGCTACGTTCCTTTTTTTTTNTTTTTTTCGTCTTCTTTTCGTGCACGGCTACTAATTATTACGCGCAGAAATCCGTGAATAGACTGTAATTTAAAATACTTCGTTTCGACGTATTCAACTTTTGTTTCGCTTCGCTTTCCGGATTCATTATGCTCGAAGGATCGAATTCGGATCCGAAGAAGATTTTCCACCAAACAATCGAATGCAATTAGTCGAGAATCTTTTTTTTTTTTTTACGAATAATCATTTCCACATCTTTAAATTATCTTTAAAGCAAAAAAATTATCACCGTGGTATCGAAATGGAAAAATTTAAGTATCGTTCTAAATTTCTAAATTTTAACTACTTATATTTAAACCACCTCGTCGCTAAAAAAATTATTTCTCTGAGAATCGTAAATCTCAAGTAAGTAAAGGGAGCTCGTTAAATTTTATTATAGCGATAATGCATCCACCGTGGCCGATAAACGAACGAAAAAACGAAGAAGGATCGCGAATCGAGATAGGCGTAGGCGTGACTCGAGGCAAAGTGAAAAACGAAAATAAAACCGAAACGGCGTTCTCCTTTTCGTGCACGGCTACTAATTATTACGCGCAGAAATCCGTGAATAGACTGTAATTTAAAATACTTCGTTTCGACGTATTCAACTTTTGTTTCGCTTCGCTTTCCGGATTCATTATGCTCGAAGGATCGAATTCGGATCCGAAGAAGATTTTCCACCAAACAATCGAATGCAATTAGTCGAGAATCTTTTTTTTTTTTTTACGTAATAATCATTTCCACATCTTTAAATTATCTTTAAAGCAAAAAAATTATCACCGTGGTATCGAAATGGAAAAATTTAAGTATCGTTCTAAATTTCTAAATTTTAACTACTTATATTTAAACCACCTCGTCGCTAAAAAAATTATTTCTCTGAGAATCGTAAATCTCAAGTAAGTAAAGGGAGCTCGTTAAATTTTATTATAGCGATAATGCATCCACCGTGGCCGATAAACGAACGAAAAAACGAAGAAGGATCGCGAATCGAGATAGGCGTAGGCGTGACTCGAGGCAAAGTGAAAAACGAAAATAAAACCGAAACGGCATCGTTCCCTCGGAATGCATGCACTAGGTGTGCACACGGGGAGAAGTACCAGATGCAAAACACGTAGATTCGTGAAACTTGGAGGACGTAGACGAATGGACGACGTTTTTTCCTCTCCTCTCCCCTTTCCTCGAGCAAAGTTGAACGTGGAGGACAATAAACAAGGAGGAGAGGAAAGGGAGGGAGGGAGCAAGGTGGTGGAAGTAAACTGTGGACATTAAGCTCGTAAGAGTAAGGGTGGAATAAGAATAGGAGGAGAAAAAAATTGAGAAAGATAACGAAGGAGGTGCGGCGGCCAGGTCGGGACTGATGAGGGAAAGAGTGGGACGGAGGGGAGGGGAGGGACGAGTGAGGAAAGAAAACAGGGGGACGGTGCAAGAAGAAAGATAAATAGTCGGAGCAAAGGAAAACAACCGGGTACTAGAAAGATAAAGCGGAAAGAGCGTGTTTGCGGGGATGGAAACACGTAGCCGCGGTATAAGGGGAAGGGTGTGGAATTATTTTCAAACAGGATTCGAGATTATTAATAGGCGGTGCATCCTCACGTTTTTTTTCGTTATCGAAGTATATGCTTCGTTGATCGCGTTACAGCGATTGAGATGAGTGTGAGAATTCAATAATAATAATAAGAAAAAAATGGCTGAATTATTTAGGAATTTTTTTGAGCTGAAGAAAGATGATTCCATATAGGACAAGGTTAAATATTTTCAATATAAATTTTATAATGTAATAAATCTCGCCTAATATGCATAATAAAAATTCATTTTTAGTGATGATACTTTGATGATACTTTAATTAAGGATTATCATATCTTTTGTACAAGATCCAACCAAGTTAACGATCTTGCTTTGAAATAATATTTCCTGTTGA